CTCAGGCTCCTCCATGATTTCCCTTGACGTGGGACTTGCTGAAGTCATTAAGAATCCCCAGGAAGGCCAGAAGCAGGCTTGTCTGGGGTCCTAACAATATCTCAATTTTCTTGCAACAGTAAATGGTGGTTAACTGTATCAGAGACCTGGAGAGGGTTTGCCTCTTAGGTGACAGAGATGCTCCAAATGTGTCTCAGCATCCTCAGTGAGTGTGGTTTTGTTCAGAGGGAATGGGAACGAGTATGTGGTAATTCTGCATGGGTCAGGACTAGAGCCAGAGCATGGAAGGGGGCGGGGCACTGTCCTCTGAGTGACAGACACAAAGCAGGTTTAATTTGGCAAACCATTAGAGTTGAACGAGAGTCCAAACTGAAAGGGTGGAGTTGCTCAGGTGTATGTGGCGGTGGGGAGGGGGGCAGTGAGTGTCTACACATCCTCCCACATATGTATATGCTGGAGTTCCCTCCCCCAAAAGGAAACTGTCCCCGTCACCTCATTATCCAGTATTTTCTATGAGGCTGACACACTTCCAGGGATTGAAGCCAGGAGCCAAGGAGAAATGTCAGAGAGAGAGGTTTTAAAGGAAGTGACAATTACAAAGCAGCTGATACAGGGAGTTCCCTCCCATGGAGGGAGCTGTCAGGGACAGTGGCCAGGCTCGGAGATTTATTGATACTAAGTGGATGGTACTGCAACCGGGCAAGACTATCAAAGGGACCCTGTGAGTGGCAGCCTGGCCAGGGCTGCCACACTGAACAGCTTGGGACTTTTCCTGCCCTGTGTCTCCCCGAAGGAGAGCCCTGGCCTCGATTTTCACTTCCTCCAGTTGTTGGATGTGCTCTCCTGCAGACTGTCCTGGAGGCAGGGGCCTTGCACTGGGCACAGCAACAGGATCCCAAATCTCCATGGTCTCACAGGACCTTTGTGCCTGTTATTCCTTCCTTACCCCTGGAATTTGCTTTGTAGACAGTAACTGCTTTGGTTGAAGTCTCTTTATATCATTCTAGTGATACTCGCCCTCCTGCTCCTGTGTGTGTGTGTGTGTGTGTGTGTGTGTGTGTGTGTGTGTAGTGTGTACACAGACCAGACGTTGTTGACATCTTTGGTTGAGGTCTCTTTATATCATTCTAGTGATACTCGCCCTCCTGCTCCTGTGTGTGTGTGTGTGTGTGTGTGTGTGTGTGTGTAGTGTGAACACAGACCAGACATTGTTGACATCAAGCATCTTCCTCAATCTCTCTCCATCTCAGTTTTTGAGGCAGTCTTTCACTGCATCTTTAATTCACTGATCCCCTGACACCAGATGTCAACACATCCCAGGGATCCTTGCACCTCCCTATCCTTGACTCCCTAGGGCTAGTATTGCGGGTGCAGAGCACCACACCAGGACTGTTCTGTGAGTACCAGTGGTTTAGCTCATGTTAGAGCATAGCAAGCACTTTACCCACTGAGCCTCCTCTTGAAGCTGAAGATCAATGTCCCTACCTGAACAATGGATTCATCCCTGATAGACACTGAGACTCTATTGTCATTATAACTGTTTCCTGGCAACTGTCCTTTACCTTCTACTGTCAGAATGTTGATCATTTGAGGCTGGGGTCCTGTCAAGCTTACCAATCCATCTCCATTGTCCTATAGGTGCCTCATCAGAAGCTGGTTGCTTAGAGGTGAACAAATGGGTCAATGGAGACATTTGTGGGAAGAGAAGAGAGAGAGAGAGAGAGAGAGAGAGAGAGAGAGAGTGTGTGTGTGTGTGTAATCATGCATGATCTCCCCAGGATGGAGAAAACATAAAATAACATCAAGATCATACCATGGTGAATAGATACATATGTAGCTAGAGATAGGTTGATACAGATTCAAGACAGGGGTTAATAGATCTAGATGATGATGATGATGAAGATAGGTAGGTAGATAGACAGAGAGACAGACAGACAGACAGCCATATATATGGCTCTAATGCAGTGCCTTTTTACCTGGTCAGACAATGGGCACTTGAAAGAATTTTTCAGAACCTGAAGCTGACCTGTGGGCCGGTCTATTTCCTTCCATCATTGTAGAGGGGAAGGTGGCATGTCAAATATTTTGGGAACTTGTGTTTCTTAGCCAGACTAGCAGAACTCTCAGGTCCAGTCTTTGATGTGTTCTGGTCACTAGCCTGTACTTTCCATTGTGGTCTAGAAAGAGTCAGTGTGAAGAGATATCCTCGGCCCTGAATCAGTGGTCCAACGCCAGCACACACTGATAAATACCAGCAGCTCCTGTGCTTCCCAAGAGTTCCTATGCTGTAGACCCCACACACAATGCAGCCTGCTGGGAGTCTGTGCTTCAGCCAGAACACAGACAGTGGGGTCCCGCTTCTGCTTGGAAACACTCCTGCTCCTTCATCCCGAGTGGTCACAGCCAGGAATCGGGAATGTGTCTTCCAACCTCTCATCTACTCTCAGCTAACTCACACTACCGGTCAAATGTTGCATCTGAAATGAAACTCCTGCCTCTGCAGGCTCTGGCCTTAGTGGCAACACTCCATCCTGTGGAATTGAAAGACTCCAAAGCTCTACCATCTTCTGGGACTGAAGAGCTGCAAAGGGGGTTCCTGAATGTCTGAGCTTCAAACAGCTCAAACGTTGAATCACTGAATACTTTCCGGCCAATTAGAGCAGACATTAGAGCGCTGGTGCCTGGAGGAGCTGAACACGACGGAGTCTGAACCATTGTTTCATAGCTGAGAAACACCCACCCCCAAGAAGATTGAATTTGCTCAAGGTCATCCAAGTTCTTCATAATGTTTAAAAGAAAGAGAGGACCATCTGGGTCTTCTGCCATTGAATCCAGTCCTTGCTCTACGGAGCCCTTTTCTCTGCTGTGACCATTTATTGTCACAGATCCAAAGCCATGCCTTACGATATAACTGCCCTTCCATACAGGCCTGGGATCTGGGGAGTCTCCTCTCTCCCTCTCCCTTTCTCTCTCTGCGCTCCCATCTCTTTCCCTTCCCTCTACCTCTGTCCCTCTCCTTTTCTTCCTCTGGGATTTAACTGAAATGAGGAGGCACACCAAAGTAAAAAGACTGAGCTCAGTGACCACAAGGTGGGGCCCACCCAAGGAAATATAAACTAGGCCATCCCCCACTCTATAATCTTTTAGGAAACAGTGGTAAATCACAAACTCTTAGTCTAAAGGATAGAGAATCCACTTTAATGAAAGAGATTTGTTAAAGAAAAAAACAGGAGGTTATTTGAGAAGGAAGTTATGGCCTGCTATGTCTAAGGATTTAGGCAGAGCCATCTCCTTCCCTATCCCCTCTTTTCCTTCCCTCCCCACCCTCTCTTTTCCCTCCCTCCACACAGCCCTTCTTCCCCTCCTCAACTTCTAAAGTTCTAGTAAAAACTGTCACAGGCACTAGGACCCCAGAGACCTGGCTGAATGTGTGAAAGGAGAAGGCGGTGCAGGGTGATAAGTCTGGAAGCTGGATTCTCACGGCACAGGGCAGTATTTCACTGCCCCAAGGGGAGAGGAGGGAGCCTAAAAATACCCTGGAGCGGATTATAATATTTTAACAGGGTTTATGTGCGCCCTATGCACACTAACCCCTGGAAGATGGATTGTGCATTTTGACAAATCTATATTTAACATGGGTGGATAATATACAACACAAGTTCCCCGGTAGAAAAAAAAAATCCAGACTTATGGAAAACCTGAGTCTAGTAATTACAATAGACATTTAAAGACAGTGCCTATTGTGGGCTGTGAACAGAAAGTGAGTCTCATTAGGCAGAAAGAGAAAATAGTTTGAGAGGAGGAAGCTAAGGAGCCACCTCAGAAGAAGCAACAGAGAAGGAGGTCCAGGGGACCTGCTCCTTCCACCACCTACTCTGGGCACACAAACTCCCCCTCAAGCATCCAGCGTGCATTCCAGCATCAAATATGTATTAAGCACCTATGGTGTTCCAAGCACTCTGCTTGCTCCAGGACACAAGCAATTATTCCATTCAGAGAATCCGCGTGGAGCAAAATAGCTCCAGATGCATACAGCAGTCAGGGCTGTCGTTTTAGATACAGCGACTAAGGAGTGGGAGCAGAGGCCCGTGAAGTGGTAGGCTGGGGGTGGGGAGGGGAGGAGATGCAGTCAGCTTGGGAAGGAGGATTGCTCTTTGCAGCGAGAGAGAAACAGTACTGCAGGCTAGAAGGGAACCAGAAAAAGCAGAGTCCCTAGAGAAAACCACTGGACTGGAGATGCAGAGTGACAGCCAGGATGGCCAATCAGGGAGTGAGGAGACTGAGCAAGGCAGGAAAGGTCAACAGGGCAGTTTTCAGACTCTGGGTCCTGCTCAGACATCAGGGACTTTTCCAGTGTGTGGTGGGAATCTCAGAACCGAAAGGAAGTGAAATGATGTATTTTGTTCCCTTTGGTTTGTTTAGTTGATACGCTTCCTTTAGTTTCAGGGAGAGAATGGATTCCACTGCTAAAAAACATACACTGTGCTGCCTCTCATGTAACCCAGATGATTTAAAACTGTATGCACATGTATGTGTGTATTTAGGTGTGTGCTTGTGTATACATGTATGTATGTGTATGTGGGGTGTGTGTCCATGTGCACCCGATGGTCGAAGAGAGTCCATGCAGGAAGAAAGGAATCTAATGAGCAGAGAGAGAGCAATAGGAAGAAGAAAGACTGTTATCTCAAGCTTTCTCTGTCAAGGAATCTAGATTCAAACTGTGTGCTGACGGCTGACTGTTTAGTGAGAGTAAGGGGACCAGTGGGAAGAGCAAGAGAGGACGAGAGGGCAATGAGGTGGGAGGTGCATATGAGCAAAATACAAGAATACACACGTATGAAAATGCCATTGTACTAAGACCTATTCTTTTCTCCACTAAAATTTTAATTAGAAAAATTTTCTGAGGGTAATCATAGAATATCCAAAAAAACATTTCCTAATAATTATAGAGCATGTGAATAATGGATAATAATTTAAAATATCAAATAGGCCATGATTACCATTGTCAGCTCTCGGGACAGCCATGGAGCAGGTTAGAGTCACATCTCATGATGGTTCAGTCTAGATGAAGATCTGTCAGTCAGTGGGCATGTTGTCAAAGTGTTGAGAAAGGCTGGGAGGAGTTGGAGTTTAGGTGTCAGGGGTGGAGATAACTGAAATACAAGGTAATCATGCATGAAATTCTCAAAGAATAAATTAAGCATATTGACAATAATAATAATTCTCTAGGAATAGTTTTGAAGACTCAATATGTTGATGTACATTGAAGGTCTGGATGTCCCCTAGCTGAAGCAAAGACTGTGAACTCTCCATCCTGTATCAGACAGAAAAGTGAAGAGTCCAGACTGACTGAGGGGCAGCTCAATCCCATGCCCTTGGTCTTGTTCCCATCACATTCTCATCTAAGGACCAGTGTAATCACCCACTGGTAACTGCTGGGATCCTACGGAATGGATCCTTTGGAGATATTTACACAGTCAAGCTACTATTCTGGCTGATAGTCTGAAAAGGCTGGAAATCTCCTAGCAAGATGTATGATTGCAACATGAACATCAGCAGACTTACACTGAGAGGAAGGGCAAGGTGGAGAAAATCAATACTTGTGTCCCTAAACCCATGTCTGCAGCAACAGTAGGCTGCCGCCCTTCCTAGAGCAGTGTTTAAGTTTCGCAGTAAATCGTGGCTAAAGAAATGAAAGGTGACCACACAGGCAGCATATCTACCCACCTTGGATTTGACCTAGAACATACATGCACGAGCATGCCCGCTAACTGTGTGTGTGCCTGTGTTTGTCAGCATGCACACGTGGAAGTTTGAAGACAGTCCCACAAGCTCATCTCTCCTTCTATCTTACTTGAGACAGGTTTTCTCTATTGTTTGCCAGTGTGTGCAGACAAGCTGCCCCAAGAGATTCCAGACACTCTCCTGCCTTCAGCTCCCATCTAACCGTAAAGCAGTAAGATTACAGGCACGCATACTGCTGTGCCCAGCCTTCCACATCGCAGGGATTCAAACTCCCGCCTTCCTCCCGACTTGCACCATCAACATTTTACTCACTCCGCTATCTCCCCAGCACAAATTCGCTTTCAACCATCGGCTTCCATCTGCCCTCTGAAAAGTGACCCTGTCGTGCTTTTCTTAACACAGTTCTTGTGGTGACAAGAAGAGCTAATTATGTAGATGTGCTTGGCTGTGTGGCTACTATAATCAATAATCATGATACCACTGATCTATAACAGGCATCGGATAAACATTGACTGTGGACAGATGGATGAGGGTTTGAACAAATGAAAGCATGCATAGAATGGAAAGATGGGACCATCAATGAGCTGGTGACCAGATTGGCATTTGAAGGCACTGGTGGATGGCTGATTGGTAGGGTGGATGGCTAGACAGCAGACGGCAAGAGATGGTGGGTTAAATGGATTGCTTGAGCCATCTGGCCATTGGTCTACAGCACCTTCTATTCATTCATTGGGGGTGGTATTCATGTGTGTACACGTATGTATGCAAGTGTGTGAACTTATGGGCGCATGTTCAGAAGGGAAGATATTGGGTATCACCCTCTGCTGCTCTCTGCCTTTATTCCCTTCATACAAAGGTCTCTCACTGGACCTAGAGATGACTATTTTTGCCTGGACTAGTGACCAGTAAGACCCATGGATTGTTATGTCTCCACACCTGGGGTTACAGGTATTTGAAATTACACCTGGCTGTTTCCACCAGTGCTGGGATCTGAACTCAGGTCTGTCTTTATGCTGTGCAACAAGAGCTCTTATCCAGTGAGAGGCTTCCCAGCCCCCACTAACCTTTCTTATCTTCTTTTCTAGTCTGTTCCCAGTTCTCCAAAGGAGTCTATGCCATCTTTGGGTTTTATGAACGAAGGACTGTCAACATGCTGACCTCCTTCTGTGGGGCCCTCCACGTGTGCTTCATTACTCCAAGCTTTCCCGTTGACACATCCAATCAGTTCGTCCTTCAGCTGCGTCCGGAACTACAGGAAGCTCTCATTAGCATCATCGACCATTACAAGTGGCAGACCTTTGTCTACATTTATGATGCTGACCGGGGTAAGCCAAGGGTTAAGGAGAGGACCTTGTTGAGGGATGGAGAGAAATCACCAGCAGGAATAGTGATGCCCCTCTATCTTCTTAGAGCACACGGGGAAGCAAGCCAGGTGCTTAATTTGTGTGCGATGATTTCTTGATGGCCAATATTTAACTCAGAGCATGAAAATATATCCTCTGAGAGAGATATCTAACCCATCAAGCCATCCTACCATTCCCAAGCTCTCATGTCTCTGAAGTCCAGGGTCTTCAGCAAAGTGGATCACAGCTCACCATGTGGTTAATAGAGCATAAAACAGACTGAGATCTGAATCCTAGCCTCTCTCCTCACCAGCCCTGTGACTCTGGGCAAGTTCTTAATGCATCAGAGTCACCACTTGCATAGTGGGTCAAATTCTCCATGCCTTCATTCCCTCATGTCCAGAATGAAAATGAACTGTTACTACTCAAGAATGTATTATGTGCTAGTGACTGAAACATGCTTGTTCGTTGCCTACAATGTAGCAAATACTACCCTCAAGATGTGTTATCCCCTGTCACCAATATCATCCTCACCATCAACAGCATCAGCACCATCATCACCATCACTGTCACCACTGTCACCATCACCATCACTATCATCCCATCATCATCACCACTACTGCCATGATCATGAGCATCATCATCACCACTTCCACATCCCACCATCCTGCCATCATCATCACCACCATTACTGTATTCAGCATCACTGTCATCACATCATCACCACCACCATCATCACTACCATTATCTTATTCAGCATCACGGTCATCACATCATCACCACCAGCATCATCACCATCATCTTTATCAGCGTCATTGTCATCATATCATCACCACCATCGTCATCATCACCACCAGCATCATCACCATCATCTTTATCAGCGTCTTTGTCATCATATCATCACCACCATCATCATCATCACCATCATCGCTACCATCACCATCATCACTCTCATCATGTGATAGCAACACCCTCACTCCGAACATCATCATCACCACTCTCAGCCATCATTGCTGCCATCACCATTGTCATCCTCTAGACCCTTTTTATTCCTGCTCCCTTTGAATTTTGACATCACATTTTCCATTTGGTTCCCATACTTTTTACTCTGTGTAGCTTCTTTATGCTGGGGTGCGTTTATCTGTCACATCTACCTTTATGGTCCTTAGCTTCTTCTGTATTACATCCTATTTTCTCTGCTCATTCATTCTCTAACTAGGAACTCTTCTTCTGACCCCCACGGTGTGTGCTTGCCCTGCCCTGCCTCCTGCTTATGCATGGCCTCGTCCTGTAAGAACACTGTCATTGCTAGTGTAATAAGATAAATGGGCTGGAACTTGAAAGCCTAGAGGCAGGGTAGCACTTCCCTGGCAGAGTTTCCCTCAGAGAAACTTAGAGACTTTGGATAGGAGGGTGGCTGAATAAAATGGTTTTATAGGCAGAGGAGAAGGTGCTGTTCAGAAAGGTAGGTGCCCAGAAAGGGAAGAACAGAAGCATTTATTTCTTTCTATTTTCTTTGATCTCTTCCTGCCTCTCCCTATTTTAATGATTTCCCTTCTCGGACGACATCCACTGTTTGGGTCATCTGCCAATGGTCCCTTTCAGGACAACCTTGTGACATAATAAAGGATTAAATCAGGAGTGGCAACTCCAGAAAAGTGTAATGTAGCCCTTAGAGGGAATTTCTTAGGCTTACAAAAGAACCCACACTATGCAAATGGCTGTGTCCATCTCAAAACCCAGACCCTGAATTGTGCCATTTTCTGGTTGTGTGATCGTGGAATGATGAAATTTGGTGTCCATATCTTCAAAATAGGGATCAGAGTAAGACTGACCTCCTAGATCCCCGGTAACTAAAAGAGGAAAGTCAGCAAAACAGTGCCAAACACACAGTGAAGGCTCAGCAAACGTGGAGCTCACTCACACAACACAACTTATGCTGAAAATGATACGAAGTGGAAAATCAGATCAGAATCAATTTGGAGGTGCTTCCTGGGGCCTGATGCCATATTGGTCACTATAGAAATGATTAACAGTGTCACTAGAAGTTAGACTTGAAATGCATACAAAAGATTAATTTGCAATGTGACAGCAAAAAAGCTGTCTGTGACAAGCACAATACCTATCTACTTCCACCACCACCCCATGTCCCTGTCCTTGTCCCTGGAGCTGGAATGCTGTGGTCAAAATGGAGCTAAGGTTATAGATGCAACAGGGCTGCTCATTAGCTGACCTTGGACAGTGACAGTGGGAGCCAGAAGACTTGGTGTCAGGTTGAATGAGGAAGCCTGGGCCACCATTGCTGGCTTTGAAGATGAAAAGGGACATGATGGAGGAAGTCACAAAACAATCCCCTATCAGTTCAGAATTATGAATAATAAAGGGTTATTTATTTAAGAGAAACTTACAGATCACTGTCCTAAATAACAGTCCTCTGTGCAAACAGGAACAGAGTCTAGTGGCCGGATGCAAGAGCCAGAAGCAAGAGAGGGAGTGCACGCTTTCCAGCTGCATTTACAGTATAAGAGACCATGCCCAAGGGGGCCGGTATCTTAAATGCTATTGGCTGAAGGAGTGGAATGTGTTCCACAGCAGGGCCACGCACTAAAGGATATGAGCAGAGAGAGCAGACAAATGTGAACTAGGGAGACAAGAGAATAGATTCTCTCCCAGAGCACTGAGAGTGACCAGTTCTGCCAACAATATGGCCCTGGCTCCCTGAAATGTAAGCTGTACATTTTCACTGAGACACGACACTAAGTTTTTGGTCCTTCACTGCACCAAAGCAAACAAGTGCACCATGGAGTCTGGGAGCAGAAAGCAGTAGGGCTGAGAAACAGGCCCCGCTGCACAGTCAACCTTCATCAAAGTAGTGGGGAAATAGAGAACACATTTACCGAACACCTACTGTGTGATGAAGTATTAGCTATTGGAGCCATAACCAAATCTCACAGATTTGCCTCACAGTTATCAGCTATCTTTAGATACTAGGTTGGTCTGTTCTATTTAAAAAAATTACTAAATTTCCCTGTATTGGTTACTTTTCTGCTGCCACGATGAAATGTCCTGAGAAAAGCATCTTAAAGAAGGAAGGGCTTGTTTTGGTTCAGAGTCCCAGAGGGACTGGGGAAGGCATGGCAGCGGGAGCAGGGAGCAGGACTTAATCCCATTGCATCTGCATGCGGGAAGCAGAGAGAGAGAGAGACCCAGAAATAGGACAAAGCTGTAAAACCTGACTGCTCATTTCCAGGGTCATACTTCCTCTACTAAGGCTCTACCTTCCTAAGATTCCATAACTTCCCCCAAAAGGCACCACTAACTGGGGACCAAATAAGTGTTCATATACATGAGCTTGTCTGGGATCTTCTCATCCAAAGTACCTCTGTCCCCAAATAAAAGCAGGTATCATTTAGGAAACCCTTAAGATATCAGAAACCCACACCCAGCATGCCTGTCTCATCTTCATCAGAGCACTGGGAGGCAGGCGCTATTGATGTCACCTCTTTACCTTCAAAGAAATCAAAGTTCAGACAGGCAAGCAAGCTGGTCGAAGTCATTTAGCATATATTTTGGATCTGAACCTTTTATGGGGTTTTTAATCAAAAAGTTCTTTTTATTGTCTGCCCTGCTCTGTAAACAGAATAGCAAAAAGGACCGGGTGCTTGCCTCTGCGGCATTCGACCACACAGAGAGCAGGAACTGAGCTTGTTACGGGAACAGGGTGGGGGACAACAGGGACCACTCAGGGAAGTGGATGCAAACAGCAGGGAGTGCACAGAGAAAGTGGGTTTAGGAAGTGGATGCAGACAGGTAGCTAAATGTGCCTGGTGGAAGGAGGGGTGGGCTACATCAAGGGCAGGCAGAAGCGGATGTCACCTGTGAATGCTGACGTGTCTCTGTCCGCCCCTCCGCTGCAGGCCTGTCAGTCCTGCAGAGAGTCTTGGATACAGCTGCTGAGAAAAACTGGCAGGTGACAGCTGTCAACATTCTGACAACCACCGAAGAAGGCTACCGGATGCTCTTTCAGGACCTGGAGAAGAAAAAGGAGAGGCTGGTGGTGGTGGACTGTGAATCAGAACGCCTCAACGCCATCTTGGGCCAGGTACTAAAGGCAACAAGGGGCACAGAGCAGGCGCTGAGGATAATTCGGGAGAAGATGCGTGAGCTTCTGATGTGGGTGCTAGGGAGAGGGGGTCTAAGGAGGCCTCTCAAGGAGGTGAAACTTGACGTTTTCCATTTTACATTCTGTGAGTCCTAAAATTTTAATCTGACACTTGATGAAGTAACAAAGCCATGGGAGCCTTGATAAGACACTCCAAGTGATCCTCACACTGACTGACCAAAATCTTACTTCTTAGGCTCCTCTTTATTGTTAAAATTAAATTACATTGTCTCTTAGAGCTTACAGAGTCCAAGTTGCAGACAGAGTCCTGTGTTCATCCTGGGCTATGTCACGCACAGAACCAGTATTGGGTATCACAAGGCCTTGGCCCGATGACCTGTTTAAGGGGCCACCTCCCTTTCCACTCCTTCCTTGAACAGTTCCTGTCTCCAAGAGCAGGAAGGGCGGCATATCCTATGAATAGGTTCTGTAGTTTCAACAGCTTTAGGTATCAGGCTCTAAACTGTATTTGCTCTGGTGTCAGAATCAGAGAAAGTTTGGCAGCCGAGCCAGGAGCGCCGCCATGTAGATCACTGTCTTTTTGAGCTGCATTTGTGTATTCAGATGAACTAGTAAGGAGGAGGCGTGCAGTCATGTTTGAACAGTGCCATAGAAAAGATGGGCTTTTAAGGTACTTGACAATATGACAAGGCTGGTTAATGGCCCTCAAGATCCTGGACCCCCCGCGGGGAGCCTCGTCACCAGATCAGCGATGGCTGTGAAGCCTCCACCACAGAACAGGGAAGACCTTGGAAGCCATGGGCTCTTTCTGACGTTAACTATGTGTGTTCTACACTGTCAAGTGTGGATTTGGGGTTTTCTCTTGAAGAGAAATGAGCACAAAATTGTTTCTATGGTGATAGAGGTTCTCTGGGCTGGAGTCGGGTACTGAGGGCTAGCATCTGGGGTGACAGTGAGGACAGTAGAGGGCAACGGGTAAAGGCAGAGATTCTGGAAGCAAATCAGCTGGGGGGTCGGCTTCCAGGTTGAGTGTTGGCTAGCTTCATGACCTTGGACCGGGCTGATAATCTATTTCCACCTCACATCCCCACTCTGCACAGCAAAAATAACAATAACTTCCTCTTGACGGCTTTTACGAGGGTTAGAAGGACCCGGACGTGGAACATCCTTAGAAAGGAGTCTGTTCCCTAGGACGCGGTGTGTGGAAATGCTGCCTATTGCTGCTATTCACAGTGCCCGCTCTACCGGCTTCATGAGTCATTTCCCTCTCGGACCATAAACGAGTTTATCTGCTACAAACCTGGGATGGGGGACAGGGATGAGCTGAGATGGGAAGCAGACAGAATGAATGACTTCAAGGTGTCCTTACTAGAATGGTGGCTTGTCCTGGATTGTGTCATGCTGCCGTTTTCTGGGTGCTCGCAGCCGAGGAGAGAAGGTACGGACTGCAGCAACGCTTTTTGTAGACAGCATTCATCCTTACATGCTGTAGCTCAAATAGCTCCTATCCACTTCCCTGTTACACATGAAGAAGAGTTGCTTTGTTTTGTTAACAAAGCTCTCACAGCTACCATAGAAGGAAATCAAGAAGTCAAACCAAGCTGGATTTGACAACAGGGTCCAATATCTTAAAAGCATAACTTTCCTCGTGACTGGAGCAATGGCTCAGAGATCCTGTTCTGGTTGTTTCAGCAGAGGATCTGGGTTTGGGTCCCAGCAACCACATGGCGGTTATAACCATTTGTACTTTAGTCCTCGGAGATCCAGCTCCTTTTCTGGCCTGCAAGGCATCAGGCACATGTGTGGTATATAGTCATACATGCAGGTAAAACACTCATGCATTTATTTTTTTTAATACAACTTTCTAAAATAAGGGATGCATCTCAACTAGGAAAGTGCTTGCTTACACATGCGTGAGGACCTGAGTTCAGCTCCAGCATACACTAACGAAGCTGAATGGGGCGGCAAAGATTTGTAATTCCAGCACTGGGGAGCTGGAGATGGCTGGTTGATCCCTGGGCTCACTAGTCAGTGAGCCTAGTTCAACTGGGGAGTACCCTTAGGTCCCAGATTTCCAAAACTAACCTGGAAGGCTGCTGAGGAATGCCACCGAAGTCAGTCTCTGTCCGTCCCACAAATACATGTGTATATTTCTACCCCTAGGACAAAAACCATAGTTTTCTGAAGCCTCCAGTTGTTTTGGGGTTCTGGTAGAGCCTACTGCTCCACACCAGGGGCCATCAGGGAAGAGGTTCCAACTCTCTACTCCTCACGTCTCATGAACTGTGACAGGTGCCATCTGAAGTGGAAATTTATCATTTAGGACTGAGCTTTTCTTCGACCCTGGCTATAAAAAACAATTGCAAGTCAGGGAGCCCAGGAAAAATCCACCACATCTGGAGTATGAAAGACAATTGTGAGTGAGAGGAAGGCCTGATGCCAACAATCCAGGAGTTTCAGGTAGCTTGACTCAGGCAGGAAAGAGGTTGGTATGTGGGTAATGCCCTTGGTGGTTAGAAAGATAAGTTCATCCCCAAGGACTATGGTAGAGATGGCAGCTCTGAGCTTGAGGCACAGCCTCTCTCTAGATTCATCTCTCTGCTGCAATGCTCACTGAGGACTCTGAAGTTCAGAGGTGTAATTAACCTTCCCAGCTTCATCCCACCAGCGGTGTCTTTAATGCTGAGCTGGCTTTGAAGTAATGGAGACTGATCTGCTGTGTGGATCTCATGGATGCATTTGCATCTTCTTTTCTGCACACTAGGGAAGACACCCCTGGGCTAGAAACCAGCCACTTTAGGGTGTGCAAAATGGAACACCATCATCCTTGGGGAACCAGTCTGATCCATAGACTTAGTGCACAGAAAGGAAGCAGAGGGAGAATGACATCACCGAGCACAGGAGCACAGGGAAGAACACATTCCGTGAGAGGACCAGATAAACAACCAAACTTCTAATATGGGGATGGAACAAAGAAAAGAGCAAGCAATAATTGAATGGACTATGAAAGCAACCCAAAAAAAAAATAGGAATCAGCAGCCTTCTCCATAATAATCCTAAATGTGAATAAGTATAACCCTTCAGTTGAATGAAGACTGGCTGATCCAAATTAAGAGAAGTAACCAACGATGTATTGTCTATAAGAAACACACTAGCAAAAGACACAGGCTGGAAGTGATGGGAAGTCTGTATACCAAGAAAATGGAAACCCTAGCCAAGCAGAGGACCATACTTACATACCATAATGTGGAGTTAAAATTAGGCAGAGGAAATAAAGGTCACTGCTATGTATTACTAAATGGAACCATCCATCAAGAAAATCTGCACCAAATGTTGCACACCAATTTATAGAAAAACACTAGCGGTCAGAAATGGACTTATAGAGTCAGATAGAATAAAGCTGAGTGGCTCCAGATCCCACTCATAAATAAGTAAATGTAAAAGGAGACATCTCGTTTGTTTCCTGGTCACCCAGACCTGAATAATCACACAGAAACTATAACACTGCTTGGCCAATGGCTTACGCGTATTCCTAGTTAGTTCTTGCATCTTAAATTAACCCATTTCTATAATTCTGTGTATCACCACGAGGCTGTGGCCTACTGGTAAGGTTCCTGCGGCAGCTACATGGCATCTCCTTGATTCTGCCTACTCTCTCTATATATCTCTGTTCAGATTTTCCACCTGGCTTTACTCTGCTAAGCCATTGGCTGAAACAGTTTCTTTATTAACCAGTGATAATAAAACGTGCACAGCCTACAGAGGGGAATCCCACATCAAGTAGATAGTTTAGTTAAAGAGAATCAACAAATAAATTTCCAAGTTGTACTGTAGATCAAAGAAAGACATCTGTAAAACACTCCATCCAACAGCTGCAGAACACCTTCTCCTCAACAGTCCATACAACATTTGTCAAAATCTATGACATTTTAGGCAAGAATGTAAGTTTTAATAAATATAATCTAAGTAATTCATTGTATATATGTATTCATTTCATAGTGGAATAAAATTAAATCAAGAGAAAAAGAAATGACATAAACTATACAAGAACCCATGGATTGTAGAATACAATTTTGAATGACCAGTTGTTTGTCATTCAACCTCCAGAAGAAATATTTTCAAATGTTTTTTAAATCCTAGAATCAAATGAAAATAAAACAGAACTTATCAGAATCTTTTGGTTACAGATATATAGTTATTGCTCTCTCTATATATATAGTTTATGTTAAAAATCAAATTGCAAATTTTTAACTTGGTATACTTCAAAGGTTTAGAAAAACAAAAATAGAGATTCTCAAAATCAGTAAGCAGAAAGTAATAATAAAGATCATAAACTGATTAAATGAAGATTAAAATAACAATATAAAAAAGAAAAAACCAAAAGCTTGGCTATTTGAAAAGAAAAAAAAATGAACAAGCCCTTCCATAAACTAACCAAAAGAAATTAGTAGCAATAGAGATGAAAAGCGGGTCACTACAATGGATACCAATGAAATCCAGAGGGTTTACATTCTGAACATATAGAAAATCTGGAAGGAATGGAATTCCTAGAAGCGTATGACCTACCCAAATTAAATCAAGACAGTAAAAACAACTTCCTTAAGTCTGTATTAAGTGACGAAAATAGAACAGTGGTAATGAGTCACCCAACAAAGTCCAAGACTGAAAGAAATCACTGCCAAGTTCTAGGAGATCTTTAAAGAAAAGCTTGTGAAACTATTTCATAGGCTAGAAAAGGAAAGAGCATTATCAAAGGCATTCTATAAAACACCATAGCCAGATAAGAACATGCAGAGGAGGGGGTCAGGAGGGAGAGAGACAGAGGGAGAGACAGGAAGGACGGGGAGAGAGGGAGGGAAGCAGAGAGA